CGATAAAGCTCTGTAGGATTGTTGATTGGGAACATTAATTGACACTGGCAGCTTGGTGAGCAGTGAGTGGCAGGGGCGGATCCAAAAATCGAACAACAGCCCGAACAATTAGAACACAACATGAGGTACCGAGTCAATGATGTATCGTTCTCTTTTGTATATTTCACTAACTTGAACCAACGGCATGGTCACAATAGACCCCTTCATAAAGACGGCTGATATTGGCTGCCTGGTAGATTGGTAGGGTGACACAGACCCAACCACCTGAAAGCCAAAAAGTCCCGAGGTATTTGGCGGCGACTGGGTTTTCTTATCTGTTCTGTTTGATTTGATGTTGGTTGATGTGTACAAAAGGCTTAGCTTCTGCACATTCCGTTGCACAAACAAAATGTTTTGACTTTCTTTCTGTAGACCAAGTCCTTGTGCTGGCTATGGCAGTGTCTCACCCTTGTGGTATCTCTTTATATGCTTTGAAACAGAAGATGAATCGTTATATTTATCCGTGCAGCCCTGAAAAGGACCATTGAATTTAGTATTTCACCAAGAGACGTTAATGTATTATTGCAGCAGGAGCATTGCCTACTAAGTGACTCACAACTATCGCTTCTTCATCAAAATGTTCGGAACAGAGCCAGTTGTTTCATCAGCAGCATATCTCTGTGATTAATTCTATGACATGATAACTCAGATAGCCAAAACAGATGAAAAGAAATAGTTGGAGACATAATGATAGTCATCGAGCAACATCAGGCAAAAGCTTGTATTGATCTGGAACTGATTCTTTGGCCCTCCAACTCAGCTCTGAGTTGCACACTATTGGTCTTCACTATATATATATATATATATAAGGTAGAGAGAGAGAGAGAGAGAGAGAGAGAGAGAGAGAGAGAGAGAGAGAGAACTGATGGTTTTTTTTGGTGAGGAATAGGTTGGAAAGGAGGAAAGTGCTGAACTTATAGTCATATCCTGATGACAACGCTGTGATTTGTGTCTTCTTTGCCATAAGGGAATCTTGGGTGGTAATTTGATTTGCTCTGATACATATGGTGCTTTGCAACAGCAACTGATGTGTATCAAGACGCAAACGATTCGTGTAAAGGAAAAGTCTGGAAATTCTCTCTGTAAGCGATGTTGTTCTAAGTGACTGAGCATTAAACTTGACAAGGCATTCATTACAGGCAATGAAACACACAGTGATTCCACCAAATAAGCCAGAGATTTTCGGATTTATTTCTTCTCTGCATATGCACCCGGAAATTTGTTATGTATGCTCGCTCGTTTGCGTCTGCAGCACGCAGATGTGACAACCTCTCATGAGAGCAACTGACTCAGAGCAAGCAAGCGAGTAAGCAGACAAACCTTGCTCTGCATCTCAATCCCCGGTACTTCTTGACCTGCAAGCCATGTTTCAAACTGAGGAGCCCATGAATATTTGTGCTTGTATGTCAAACCTGGTCAAGCCATCTCTTGTTCGTTGTCGCATGATCTGATGTCCAATTTATTCGGATGTTTGCATCGTGTTACCAACCTACCTACTCACCGCAATTCAAAACCACGCGAGGAATACGACATACCAGGTATCCTACTGAATTATCGTGGTTAATTCTCACAGTCTGGCTACACCGGTGTCCAATTTGGAGGGAAGAATGCCCCTGCACTCTAGTGTTGGCAGCTATTTATTGGGTGTCTTAATTGAGTTTGCTATGGATGATGCCGCAGTCAAAGCGCATGAATGCTACGGTATCCAGCCAAAGAGAGCTCTTTTTTAGCTGCTTATGCTTTAAAGCCGCCGGCGACCATGAGAATGAGGCTGGCTGAAGTCGTTAGCGACAATAGTGTCTGTCAGCTGTTACATCAGTGGCTAATAGCTCGACGAGCATAAGCTTAAGGTCAGGAGGGAAGCAAGACATGGTACACAGTATAACTGAATCTTGTTGCCCCTCTTTCTATCACATGCTCGTAATAGCTTCTTGTATTCACATTCATACTGTCCTAATCATCGTGTAACTGGTGTTCAATATGGCTTCAGCTTCAGAACCACTCGCAAAAGGGACATATGCACCTTCGGGTCCAAACGACATACGCGGCCCCTGCCCGATGATAAACTCTCTCGCGAATCATGGCTATCTTCCCCGCGACGGCCGAAATGTTCGAGTTGAAGAAGTTCTCGCTGGCATGGACGCAGTTGGCCTCTCCAAGCCTCTCGCTGCTGCCTTTGCCAATCCCATCTTTCAAGAACGCGCGCCTTCAAAATTTCACGATGACCCAGTCGTCAAGAAGTCTCTTTTGCAAAGTATTTTGCTAGCGATCAGGGACCCTTGGTCTCTGTTGGGTCGATTTGGTATGCGCAAGCCGGGTCAGCTGGACTCTGAGGGTCACAGGGTTCTGAACTTGGACCAGCTCGGGTTACCCAACACAGTTGAGCACGATATATCTTTGACCCGCCGGGATCATCAACAAGGTGATAACATCACTCTTCAGAAAGACCTTGTCGAAGATCTCTTGGCGAGTTCAAAGGACGGGCAGACTCTTACTGCGAATGACCTCGCAGAGTTTCGCAAGAAGCGCATCGCCAGACAGAGAGAGGATAACCCGGGTCTTCAATACGGGTCTTTCGAACACGATCTTGCTTGTGCGGAGATTGCCCTGATCCTCAATGTCATTGGAACTGGTGATAGAGTGCCATGTAACTATGCCAGGGCCTTTTTGCAGGAAGAGAGACTGCCGATGCAAGAAGGGTGGAAGAGAGAAGAGTCGAAACTGGGTATAATTGGATTGCTCACCAAGAGAAACGGTATCAAGAAGATTATTGGTATGGAATTCAAGTCTTGATGTCAAGGTTGTCTCTCATTTTACAAGCCTTTCTTTCATCTTGTTAAACAATGGAGGCAATATTGATGGCCAAATTGGTTGGCTTATACAGAATGATAGATAGGTATCTCCTTATGACAACACCTCCCAGCACGACTACCTTACTGCCTCCACTCTTTTACCTACCTCCTCGGTGATGTTGTTCATCCAGGGCCCACCCGCTTTCAATTCCATGACAACTAGATCCATGGTCATTCTTTCCTCTTCAAGCTCCTTCCATTTTCTGACATCTTGACCGAGTGTCTCCGGATACCTTAGAAGTGGCAAGTGCAGATACGGGGGTTTCCAGTCACGCGGAGATCGTGACGGGTAGTTGCAGTTTCACCAAGGATGACTCCTTCCTGCGAGATGCAGTCAGCCATGACATTGGAAGGTTATTGCCTTAAATTCGCGCTTTCTGTAAGACACTTACCTGCAGTCAACCTTTTTCAAGGCCATGGAAGGTAGGTACCTCTAGGTAAGTTCCTTGGCCCCCAAGTACCTACCAGGTAGGTACCTAGGTCTCTGACGGGCTGTTTTCTCCTGCCACGACCCATCCATCTCATCGTCTTACTTCTGCCATCTCTACAGCTTCATAACCTGTCCACCAAGAGATAAACCCTTGCAACTCGTCTCATTTGCCGCCTAGTTCAAGCCTCTAAATTGCAATGCAAAAGGACTATTCGATCACAATGTTGAGCAACAAGACCCACGGGATACGGCATAAAATACCTTCCTAAACACTCGCCCTTCCACAATCCTCAAACTGTGCCCGACCAGCAAGTAAGTAGTATCCCACTATTCCAATAGAATTGAACATATAATACTAACACTGCGTTCGAAGTCAGCCAGCTCATCAATCGCAAGCGTTTGACGCCCGAACACTCCCATTTGAAGACGACCAATCGCAAAAACCCAAGGAAAGAAATACTAGGGTTTTGTCGAAATACTGAACGATGTGATCGCTCTGGGGTAGTAGGTTGTCCTCTAAAAAGATGTTTCACTCATCTGCTAATTGTCCATTCTCATTTGCACAATACATCGATCACTTTCTGAACCATCGTCTACATGACTGAATAAGGAATGAAGGGCTAGTGATCACTCCTATCCTTGAGTCTGTGTGAATCTTGTCAATACCTCAGCAAGATAGATCCAAGAAATGGGAGCATCAAGGATGTGGGCTCTTCTCTTTCTAACTCTCGTAGCACAACAAACACTCACCACAAGCCAGGCTTGTGTTCAGTTTGAGCTTGCGCAGCCACCCGACTCGCCTTCCCACACCGTACCGTACCGTGCCGTTGCGTATCATGCCGACCTTGACGCCATCGTGTCAAGCGACTTCACCGCGAACTATCTCTCCATTGCACAGGGCGGCCGAGTTTCCATACAAGGCTAGATATGTTGAACGCTCCGCTCTGTCATGCGGTTGCACTTGTCCTCCAGCGCACGTCAGCTTGATCCTGTACCTAGTGCAGAATCTCTCTTGTCTCCATTCCAAGCATGCTAGCTCGATATGCGAGTATCTATTATGAGCTTTGCCTGCAGCATATGCGTAACTCGACTCGACCAGGGCTTCCATGCTACGGGCAGGTGCTTGGATTCCTGTCCTGACACAGAGCTCTGGCTTCTATTGAACCTCGGGACGAGCAATAGGCTTGGACTTCATCACACAACTTACACAACTGCCCGCCCGATGCCGCGGGCTTACCTTTCGGACAAACCCACACACTTTTCGTTGGCCCAAACAGCATTTTTCGGCCTACATCCCCTGAAATATACAATGTGATCGACCACGTCCCGAATCAACACCACAAACAACCAACTCGGATCATCATGATTACTGTGGCCTGGCTTGCGGACACCCGCAGCCTTCGAAACTGAGCCGCCCGGTTCTCACAGTACCCTGATGATACGATACGCACGGGTTCGTACAGCCTCCAGACGACACTAACAGGGTTTGGTCAACTAGCTCTCTGCCGTACTTCCACGGCCAATTTTGGTGCTGTTGCTCAAGAATTGATACATAACCCTATATATCGAGAGGCAATCTCCTGCCAACTTGCCAGGACAAAGACTCACAAGACCTTCTTCGTCCCGTGCCTGCCCAGACATTCTAAACCCACCCTAGCGCCAATCCATATCTTGTCACAATGATCTTCCCAGTCAGCTCCGACTCTGCCCAGGCTTCCAGCCCTGATCCTATCGCCAATCCGCCAGCTCAAACCCCCGAACCAGCTCGCTATCAGGTTTTTCATATCCAACACTCCCCTGGCACTCACAAGATCTTCATTCCAACAAGCTCTCCGCGACCGGCAGGCTATCTCTATCATGTTCTGGAATCTTCAAACCCTGAACATACGCAGCCTAACATGACTCTGGTCTCGGATATCGTCGAGACTCTAGGTCAGGTTGGCACCATTCATGATAGCAGATGTGTCGGCTCCATTGCGTCCCAAGAACTCGACAATGCGTGCGCTATGATCAAGAGTCACCCAAGACCATTCGATCCTTACGAGCCTGCCAACGCTCCTGGCAGACCTGGCCGCTGCGAGCTTTGGGTCCTCTCTGTAATCGATACACTGCTTGGGGACGGCCTCCTCCAGCCGCTTCCGTCGGAGCCTACCTCTCGAGCCCATCAACCTCCAAGACATCATCACACATCTCACTGCACTCACCAACGCCTCTACTCGTATCATCCCTATCGACGAAGGAGCCGCCCGGCTTTGGACCGTCAGTGATGAATGCCAGATGCACCGACCCTGTTGCAAATACTTGAGGCAGCAAGGAAATGTGTTATTGCTTAACAAATGCTGGAAATTTGACGTGTACTTTCGCCCGAGGGAAATCATAATTTGAACGTACGGCAAACAGGAAGTAAGGTGTGGCCAACTCTTGTATTCATTCAACATACTTTTGCAACAATAATAAATCATGAGATTCAACTCTCCCAAGCATTCCGCCCCAAGCGAATAAGAAACAAGACTCATAAACTCCCTGTATCTGTCCCAAGGCACTATCAAGATTCAACAACCATAGGATATGAGACAGACGCAAAATAACAGAACGTTCAAACGAGATGCGTCCATGGGATCCAGGATTAGAAAAAGAACAAAAAAGTAGATCATAGAGCCAACCCGTCTAAACCCTCAATTCATCCTCCTGCTGCGCCATCCATGCTACCAACCAGGCTTCTTCTCATAGTACCGAGCACACAATCATTCGCATAAAAAAGACCCGGTTATCCAGTCTTGATCAAAATCCAGTAATGTCGTGATATATGCATGTACAGCTCCGGAAGTTACATTGTGCTTGATTGAAAGGTCGAAATATCGTTCCGATAACTGACTCCATATACAACGTAGCGAGTCCAGGATCAAGGTATCCACACGCCAGGTTGCTCTAAATTGTCGACTTCCACAATTGCCATGTGTCCAGCAGGGTGTAGCAAATATCCAGGCTTGAGCAAGTTGACTCATCCCAAAGGTTACTCAAGAAGTCGGCCCGCGATGCAAACAGGAATGGATTCAGTAGAATCCACGGCAACAAGCGACCTATGTCGCAGACAGTAACGAAGCAAGTTGCGATCCAGTGATGTGAAACGAGATTGAATCCAGATTCGTAGTCATTGAATCACATTGTTTGCATATTACCTTGGCTCCTTTGGCATGATATGCTTAGATACTTGTTTTGTTTCTTTGTGTCCCAGGCAACCCATTGCAGACGCAAATGAGTAACGATATCGTCAGTGACGAATGAGCAAACCTCGGCTGAGGTAAGTTGTCCAGGTCATAGGATCCAAAGCAAAGCATTGCTTGAGTAGGAAGAGATCCAGGCAAAAGCAAACATCCTCAGGGAGTGGGTCCATTCCTTGGTCAAGCGGGAAGGTATTTGCCAGGTGGTTGATCAGAGTCCAAGATGTCCAAGAAGTCCAGTAAGAGGTATGAGGTATCTGAGTCCAGGGAGTTCATTTGTGCACCTAGCTGCTTGAGTAAAGTCTGGCGAGTCAGTGTCTTTGCGATTCATATCAAGACAAATATCCATGGAAAGTCCCTATGTGGAAAGAAACAGGAAGAGGGGGGGAAGAGGGGGGAAGCAGAAATTCCTTTCAAAAGGGTTGGCTAATATATACAAGCTCAATCGAACTCACCTTGCTGTCCGGATGCCGGCCTCTGCCAATTACTATTCCGATAAACACCACGTTTTCACGATGCTGAACACCGAAGAATCCGGGAGCTAAAGACATTGGAGTCGAGAGCAAGAACCAGCCAGATCCTGGGAAGAACGGAAAAACAGAATACTCCCCCTGAAGGTACGTCCGGACAGCAAGGTCATGACATCGAAATACCACCCCAGATCCACCTGGTAAGGGATGGCTCCCCTTCCTTTTCCCAGCTCAGCGCCGTGTCCCATTGTAAAACGTATGCAGCATAATCTCATCCGTAAGGCAAATAGTGGTGTGTAGTCGATGAGGTCGTCAATCCAGGAAAGGCCCATCCACAATGCAATGTCGTCATAAAAAGAGTAAAGAAAAAAGACACCCAGGTATGCGTCTCGTAAGGTCCAGTTCGTGTATCCAGGGCATCATCGGTAGCAATAACAGTTGGCACGGTACGTCCAGGGGTATTATCGACTCCAAGGGAGATCCAGGTTCGTAGAAAACGGAATCAGCGTCCAGAGGATGGAATTTGATACCTTTCCAGTAGGAAGTTCCTATTGAGATGCAAACTTGCAACTCGGCGGCGGCAACAGCCAGAGAAAAGAAACCGGAAACCTCTGAAGGGGATCATATCCGGAAGAAACAGAAAAGGATGAAATGGTCGATCCAAGGAAAATAAGCCGTACTCCATGTAACCCGGTCATTATGCAGAAATCATCACACTCGCGAGGAGGTCGGATTGCCTCGTCAAGTTCAGGCAGGAAAGGGAAGGGCACAAAGATCCGGCCTCAGTCCTCCAGGAAACACACCTTTTACCGGCGGCTTGATCGGTGGTGTCGGTCTGTGCTGTGCCTGTCGCTCTCTCGCTCACTACGTCGGCTGCTGGAGGTACCACTGGGATTTGTTTGAGTATTTGTTGGTGTCGCGGAAGCGCGAGTACGGGGGGTTTCTTCATACTGTGTGGCCTGGGTATATCCTTGTGCTGTTGATTGACCTGCTAGACCTTGAGTGTTAGTAATTCGACCATGTGGAAACCCGCCGCGCGAGTGTTGCCTCCGCTATACGCACCACGACCGTAGAAGGGATCCTGGGGCTGCATCGCGTAGCCCGCAGGAGGAGCCTGACCTGAATATGGGTAAGCAGTGGCTGTATAGCCTTGTTGCGTGGGAGCAGCAGTGGCATAGGCCTGCTGTGCAGCAGCTGATGATGTGGCCATCTGGTTAGCGTAAGGGTCGTATCCGCCTCTAGGGCGCTGGTTTGTTCCAACGGCCACGTAGGGGCTCTGGGAAGCCTGGTAGGATGGATCCATGGTGGCCGCGGTAGTAGAGCTGAACCTTGTATCCGCTGGGGGAGGAGATTGCTGGGTTTGGGCATAACCGGCAAACGCACCACTACTTGAGGCACCGTAGGGCTGGCCGTATGAGCCAGCGGCTCCAGTGTAACCGGGAGCACCCGTTCCTGGGTATCTGGGACCATCAAAGCCAGGGTCACGAGCGTATGGATCGGTCTGATAAGGGCCTTCGGTAGGACCGTGGTGCTGACGCGACTGGTGCGTCTCCGAGTAGCGGTATTGCACTACAGGTGAGTTAGATGAGTGTCTCGGCGGTACGCCAACGTTTCTCGAGGCAATAGTACCTCCAGAGGTATTGCGCGACGTCTGCGCACGCCTTTCACTATCCCATCGAGCAGAGTCTGCTTTTAGATCCTCAATCATAGCCTGGCGTATCATTAGTATCTAATGAGTAGTTATTGGCGCTGAGAAAGAAACTCACAGTTGTAAGATTCCTGTAAGCGGTGATGTAGTAGCCTTGCACGGCTTGGCCTGTCTGAGGGTTCTGTCGTCATGAAATGTGAGTCATTTGTTTCATCACGATAGTGGGGTTCATCAAGGTAGATGGCGTACCTCGTAATGACCGGGACGCACGAGGGCATCGTTTCCCAGATAGCGGCAGATGTCTGCGGAGATGACTTCACGGTCGATGCCATCGCGAGGGACGAAGTATTCGTTTTGTCGTCCCGTACCTGACGTGGTAGGGGCAGCATTCCGGGATGATCTCGACATGTTGTTGATGTGTGGGGAGGATATGGCCGACGAAGTGGTAAGATGAGATGAGGAAGAAGAAGAGATGGAAGAGAAGGTCGACAGAAGTGCGGGAGAAGAGGAGATAGAGCCGGAAATGGGGGAGGAGGGAGACGACGTGGAGGGAGCTGAGAGGGTAGAACAGGCAGAAAGAGAAGAAGCGGGCAGGTGAGGATGAGGAGGAAGAAAAGGCGAATGGCGGTGGTGGGCGGTGGGCGTATCCTGTGGGTCTGCACTGTCTATTGGCTGTGGTAATGGTGGTGCTGATGCTAGGCGCTGACGAGGGGATTTCCCACTGGCAGAGTGACTTGCAGGAGACCGAGAGGCCAGAAGACGTCTGCTGGCACCAGTGCTGACACTCGAGCTCGAGCTCAGATTGGAATTTGACCGGCAGTGGGACAGGTTTTGCTGACGGCGAGACGTAGTTGGCTGGAAGCGTCGCCTCGGCGGTGGTCTTGGTGGAGATACAGGAGAAGGCAGAGGAGGAGGAGGGGCCAGTCCAAAGACAGATGTTGCTGGTGCTGATGATGGAGGTGCTGGAGGGGGGAAAGAAAATGAGAATGGTGGCGATGAGCATGCAGGAGTTTGGTTCTGCTGATGCTGATAACCAAACCCGGAAGGTTGAGGTCGCTGATGACTTGTTGATATTGATGGGTCGTTGCCCACAAAACCCTGATACTGTTGGGCGTTGTGGTTTTTGTGGTGGAGCTGGTTCTGGTTTTGCAGTAAGCCAAGATAGTATAAGCTGGGGTCTCCCGGCTGCTCGAGACAAGCTGCAGACTCTGCTAAAACTTCGTCTATTGATGAGGAGTTTCCCTCTTCAGGCTGGGCTGTCAACGTGATGACTGATTCTTCCCTGGGACTATCCGTGCCGGACGCTTGTCTCCCTCCTTGACCGAGCCCAACACCAAGCTGCGGGATCTGCAACTGGCGCTGGCCTCGTGCGTGGGTGCCCTGATATTGATCCTGATCCTGGCTAGCCTGGTCCTTGTCTATTCTGTGCTGCCAACAACCCTGCGTCCAGTGGCGACCTATTTTGGTGGACCGTTGGACGTTACCGAAGCCAGATGCGGTTGGCACGTCCTGGGTTTGCAGAGCTTGCTCTACAGCGCGTCCTCTGCCTTGCCCGCCTGGGTCTTGGTCTCGAGGTTGGGCTTTGACTTTAGCGGTGACTGGCGACACTTGGGCACCGCGAGAGGCTGGGCTAAACCTTCTGCTTGTCGGTTGAGAAGCTCTGGGTTTCAATCCCTCTCCCAGATTCTGCTCTCGACTTTCTTGTGACTCTGCGACCAAGCGGTTTCCGGCTGGCGAGTCACAGCGCAGCCTACCGTGTGCTGAATGATCAATGATTGTGGTGGGTCACGGCGAACGCCGCTTGTTGTCAATTAACTTTTAAAACCCGCGACAAGGCTTGTTCGATTTTCTGCGAAACTGTTCAAAGTCCCGTACCTAGGTCTTAGCATCTATCCCGTCAACTGAGGTTTTGCACCGTGATGTACCCC